TTTTAGTCTACCCTGCTTTATTGCATCCTAAAAATAAAACCCAGGCACCAATTTCTGGATTCATAAAGCTTGGCTCGGACTCACATAATGACCTCTAGACGATCGCTGGATGTCTTACTCAGGGCTTTGTTGTGTGACTGGTGTACCCTGTTGTCATTAGAAAGAATCCACAATGTTATAGGAAACAGATTCTAAGGTACTACACCTCCCCAAATCCCAATGTTCAGTCAGTAACTACTAAATAGCAGTGTAAGAAGTCCTGCTTAGTAAGCATAGGCTAAGAATAAAGGTGAATAGTAATAGCATAATAACAATACAATTACACAATGTATAATGTTGTTCTGTATTTATTGCTTTTAGTTATCATTTTCACTGGATGCTCAATGATACAAATGGTTTATGTAATACATAGCCATGTGGCGATTCCTACTTTTAGATAATCCGTTGAATTAAATACTTTATAAATGGATTTTGCTTCATATACGTTGATTGTTTTCTATTTTTGTGTGGAACTTCATGAACACAGATTATAAGATATGATTTATTCATGACAAATGATATCGTGTCAAATGTAAGGGGATAGTTAACCCCAAAAATATTCTGTCATCGTTTATTCAACCTTATTTCTGACTTCCTTGATTCTGTGAAGCATTAAAGAAGATATTTTTAGATATGTAAACCAAACCATCATTGACTTTCATTTTCTGAACAAAAGACATTCATACTGGCTTGAAATGACTTTCACAATATCCATTCGTTTTACATTCACACGGTTTATCCGCTTGTTAAGCGTGACGTCACGCATAGCGGCTTCGAGGTCTTAGCACTCTATCAAACTGCATGGGGAAACTCATCCAATGGTAATAATAATAATGTTTACAAAGCACTGTAATACTTTCGAAAATCATGATCGCAATGTATATATCCACGCCTAATATCCAATGGCCAGAAAGTGATTCATTTTTTTAGATATATACCTTAGATATCGCATACAGACCCTGAGCGTGCGTCAATGGCACCGCCACATTGGTACAGTGCTCCCAGCACAAATGTCATTCAACCGCACTAGTCAAGACAGTGTGCCACCGTGAAGATGCTGGCCTGCTGGCACTTTGTACGGGTGTAGTAAGGAGCAAACAAAGAAAACAAAGCACAAAGGCAGAAAATTTAATGGGTAAGATTTCGTTTTTTTACCTTTTTGTATGTTCTGAACTTTTGTGCTCAACAAGTAATGTTATTAATGATAATACAGTCACTTACTGCACTGACCGTAAGGCAAAGTAGCACCAACTCGCACTAAATACCAGGCTTTTGCTAGTTTTGTTGAATAAAATCAGCAAACAATGTAAATGATATATGACAACAAGATGCTGCAGTGCTAGAAACTTGTATTATTGTCTGCTAAGTGAACGAGTCGTTCATAACGGAAATTCATTCACAAACAAATCGCTCCCTCGTTCGTATGAGAAATGAAAGCAGGAGAGGGGGGTGTTTTAGGACATGGATTAGATCAAATCGAACAGCAGGTAGGATATATATTTTCATGTACACACACAAACACTCTTCTTCAGCAATGCCAGTGCGGTCACTTAACCATCCATGTAGTAAGTGATGTAAAATGATAATATTTGTAATTAAAAAAATATATTTGCATAATGACCGCCGCAAAAACTCCCGATCATAGATATATGCATACATGTGCATATTCCTGGCTCTGGATGGCCACAGCAGCTTGGTCCCGCATTCGTTTCAAAGGAGCGCTACCCTGTACTAAAATGGCAGCTCTATTGACGCATTCCTTCCAACAGACAACAACAGGGCAGGCGACATCTAATGTAAATGTCTATAAATGTTGTGTATATGGGTGTTTCCCAGTGATGGGCTGCAGCTGCAAGGGCATCCGCTGTCTAAAACATATGCTGGATAAGTTGGCGGTTCATTCCGCAGTGGCAACCCCTGATGAATAAAGGGACTAAGCAGAAGGAACATGAATAAATACAATAGTAGCATAGCATGTATCCATGTGTTAAGTTGGGATGTATGGAATACTGTTTCCGTGTCCAAGCCACTACTCATTTGAATTGAGAAAATATTCGGTTATGACCACTTTTCAGTCATATAACACATTAAGTGGAGTTTTATAAACTAATTCGAGAGGATCACATGCTATGACTGGTCGCGGATGGTCCTGCATCACAATCATCGATAAACCAATCATGTAAATCGTAGCCAATCATGTAAATCGTATTTTACTTCCAGTATCTAAGTTCTTAAAGAATCCCCCATCTCCTTTCCTCCAATACCAGGGAGAGCTCTCGAGATCTGTTCTCAAGTATCTCAGAGCTCAGGGATCTCTCCCGGGACAGCATGCAAAACCTGCAATTAGTATTAAGCAATAGCTAAGTGTGAACTCTTGAAAGTGAATCTTATGTAAAATCATGGTGTACACAGTAGTCTCTGGCTGGACTTGCTGCATCACAGACATCAATATTTTAACATATTATTACTAAAAAAATTTACCACTTTTTGGCGATCTAATATTAGCATACCCGCCAACCCTCCTGTTTTTCCCGGGAGTCTCCCGTATTTCAAACCCATCTCCA